AGTCTGTGCTCAACCTAGATCCTATAGAGTTGAAGCAGATAATGGTAAAATCTATAGAAGAAATAGAAAGTTTATTATTAAATCTGCAATAAAATCTGAAAATAAAAATAAAAATGAAAAGTCTATTGAAATCAATTTACAGGCAGAGACAAAAAAATAGGTTTGGTAGAAATATTGTTAAACCAAAAAGATTCTTAAACTAAACGTTAATAATAATTTCTGATGTATAACTTAATATTTGTTATTTAAAAAAAAAATGTTATGTCTTATGTATAATAATTTCTGATGTATAACTTAATATTTGTTATTTAAAAAAAAAATGTTATGTCTTATGTATAATAATTTCTGATGTATAACTTAATATTTGTTATTTTTAAAAAAAAAAAAAAAAAAATGTTATTATTTCTTATGTATAATAATCTATAATAATTATGTATTTTGTCATGAAATGTTACTATGTACTTATTTTAAAAAAAAAAAGGGGCATGTTGTGGTACCACTGCCCTCAGTGTGTGTGTGTGTGTGTCGAGGACTAGACCAGCACACAGTCACTTTTTATACGTCACATCACTAAGACTTATTTTGTTAATATAATAATATATTTTGTCATTACTTTTGTCATTTATTACTTTTTCCTTATAAAGTAATACAACAAAACGTATACCATAATATGTTATGTATACATATATTTTGGGTACCTAATAGTAGTCATCATGATTTACACATTATAATATTTGTCATTATCTAAAATCAAATCTATGGTAGGTAGTTATGGTACCTACAACATAAAGGTATAGACGTAGGTATAATATCTACAAAGTTATATAATTTGTAATCATATTACATTCATCATTAATTGTGTATATTAATTATGTAATTATCATAGGCGTGCGCAGACTTTATTCGCAGGTTATGCAATAAGAAAAATAGGGCCCCCTCACAAATTCTAATCTTTCCTTAATTTATTCAAAAAACAATTCTAAGCCGTTAAACATTTTTTTTAACACATATAGGATTCAATTTACAATCTAAGTTTTTGCAAATATACTACTTAGATTTTTTGCTTCCCTCGGAATCTGAAATCACACATAGTTTTACAGTAGAATATTAAACAACGCGCTGTAGAAATAAGTAGTTTGAAATTTGAATTATATTTATTTAAAGAAAATTTGATCAAGTATATACTAGTATGAATGTTTTTGAATAATTTTAACATATTAATAATGTTGTTATTTCATGGAAAGTACTTAAAATCTAAACTCTAAAGTTCAAGTCTTCTTTTTATCGGCACACATATTTTGAATTCATCTATTACTTCTTCAATATTGATTTCTGATGCCATTTTTTGTTCGATAAATATTAACATCAGTGAATCAAGACGTTCTTGTGACATAGTACCGGACTCAGTTATAATAATAATATGGTCTTTGATTACAAACTATAAAAACAATAATAATTATTCTATTCTTGCAACATAGATAACAATATCTACGTGTTACACTTTAGTGTATTAATAAATAATAGTTTAGATTATCTTGCGGGTCGCGAGAAAAGTGAAAACTAAAATTTTTATTATTTTTTTTTATAATATAGAAGATATTATCAAAAATACTTTGGTATATTATATATGGGCCCCTCACATAAAGCCGCTGACTATGCAGCGGCATACCCTGCATACCCTGTGCGCACGCCTATGGTAATTATTATTTATTACCTATAGTGATATTAGTAGAAATAATACTAATAAGGTAGGTACCTAACTCACAATATTTAAAACAAAACAAAAAAAATAAAATTTTGTAGTACATATTTTTAGGTCATTACTTTTCTCAATTTGTAGTAAAAATATTTGATACTAATTTTTGCGCTCCAGATTCAATTATTTTTATTTTGTTCAATGAAAGAAATAATTCGAATAAGCTTTTAGATGAATTTACGAGTAGCTGCTCGTAAGTAAATATTCTGGGTACACTTAAATTGTATAACATAAATTCCGTGTAACAACGAACAAGAAAAACCTTTTTATTGAAAAATGAATTGTATTAATACGTCTTCAATTAAAATTTATTTAATATTTTTAACTTAATTCAATACTATATTTGTTCATAAACCAATTCAATTCTGCGGTCTTTTTTATCTGCAAACTCATCAATAACACTGTCTACAAAAGTTGGATGTTAGCATTAAAACCACTGGTTAGTAAAAATTCTATTATATTTTCATACGCATCTTATTCTCCCCGGCTCCCTCCGACCAACAAGCCATGCCATTAGATGTTACAGGAGCGGTTTCAGGGGGGGTCCATGGGGTCCGGACCCCCCCGAAATGTCATAAACGAAATTTTTTTTAGAATTTGAGTGGAATGAAAATGCTAGTGTTTTTACAATGTTTTTTTTTTGTACTGGTAAACCTAATAATTAATTATAATATGTTATGGAAAAAATTACAAAATAATACGGTTAGCACACACATAAATATATATATAGATTATAGGTACTCGTATGCCGTATACGTATACCTTATAGCTGGGTATGAGGTAGATACATATATATATATAAATATATACATAGACGATAAAACCTCGTATAAACTATAAACTCCATAATAACCATGTTGATGAGAAATGACACAGTACTAATTAGTAGGTACCAAAGTTAAGATAGATTTGTAATATAATAATCATGATTGTCCTTTATCATCTGACTAGATCGTATACATTTTATCTTTTATTGTTATGCTAATCGTATCGCGTATACAATTTAAAGCAAAATGCCAAAATATAATATTATACCAATATACGTTGTATCCGTTCATTGGGAAATATCAGTTTCACCAAATGAAGTTTTGAATATAATGGCAAAATCAAAAAGAAAATTATTAATATAAATTATAATTTTATTATATCTATGTTATATTTATACCTACATTTTTTTTATTTATAAGATATTTTTTTTTACAATATGTACATAATATAGCATTCTGTAGGTCATTATGAATTTAATTTTTGATTGATTAAGAAGAATGGTTAAAATTACTTATTATTTTTTTTTTGACTTGACTTGATCTCCCCCCCCCCCCCCGAAATAAAATGCCGAAATTCCGGAAAAAAAGTCCCTGGTAAAAAAGTCCTCGGAAAAGATGTACCAGGAAAAAATGTATTAACACTCAATTCACTGATTAAGTTATTTACATGTTTTAATATTTATATGTTATAGGTACTATGATATCATTATATTATATTATAAATTACAAAAATTACATATTACAAATTTAATTACTAATTAAGTTTTATATGTTTTAATATTTTAATATTTATATGTTATAGGTACTGATATATCATTATATATTAAAAATTACAAAAATTACACATTACAAATTTAATTACACTCAATTTTTGTTTCGTATATACATTTAACCGTTTAAAGCAACTTTTTCGTTATTTTTATTCGATTTTAATAATTCCATTATTATGCAGATCACTTAGCACTTAACGAACTACACGTAACAATTTACATGTAACAAATTTTTATAATCGTGAGATACCATTTGTACGGATAAGTGATGGTTTTTTCGCACTTACTCATAGATACCTCATCGTACCCATATTAGATAAAGTAAAAATATTATTTATATAATATTTATTTCGTAATTATTGAACGTAATTGAATACAATCGTAACTTTATTTTGTATGAACTATTGGGCCTTAATGAGAAAAACTTGTGTGAGAGTAATAATTACTAATTACCTATACTTGAATAATTTTTCAATAAAAATAAAATTTAACAATTGATGAAAGCACAATTTTTTTTTTTATTTGATTTCATTAACGGGTACTTTTTTCCGGGGACGTTTTTACCGGTGACTAACTAATAAAATACATTTGTATTCAAAATTCTAAAATAGAGAGGTATAACCATTTTTTTTTTAGATTCTGAGCGGAGCGATGTGTGGATGATGTGTTTTTTTTATACATTTTTAAATTTGTTTTTTTGTTTCTGTCATCGTACTGCGATTTTCTTCAACATTACCTATACCTATGTCTATATATATCTACCTGATATTGATCTTGTGAATTTTATCGTGCTAATGTAAACATCCATTGAAAATGTCATTTACCCATCTACTGTTATTTGTTTCAGAGTTACACAAAAAACTGAAGTTGATTTTGTTGAAAACCGATTTTGTATCCGATTTCTGTATTCACTTTCCCATCGATTGAGATATATTATTTCGAGTGGTTATGAGCTGTTTACGGGCATAATACATTTTCAGTTTTTTTTAGTTTTTTTTTTTCTATGATGGCCAATAAAATTTTATTTGTTGGGTAAAAAAGCTTGAAAATGTAATACAAGGATCTTAATGTATTGTAACAATATTACATTTGAAAAATATTAAATATACAGTCCCAATTTTTTCTCATATACCTAAGCATTAAAAGTTCAAATTTTGACAAAATACCTACGTAAAAATCACTAAAATGTGCAAATTATTTCGAGTTGGAAATACATTTTATAAAAATTTAATACAAGCCTCCTCATAAGTAATAAGTATTCAGTGGCGTTGCGAAGGCTATTTTTTGGGCCAACCACCCCTAGTAAAATTCAAGGGTGGGTAGGTGCCAGGTGGGTAGGTCACCCAGTGGTGATATTGAATAGGTAGGTATGAACACTAAGAACAGTAAGAACACCATGAACAAAATATATATATATATAATTGGGTACCTATAAACCTATAACTGGGTATCAAAAAAATTTATTCGCCCCTACATAAAAATCTTGTCGCCACGCCACTGTAAGTATGTATACCTTTATCGAAAAAAAAATATCTAGTGGAAAGTCAAATTAAATTTGAATAGGCAATAGAATATTATGCGAGAATGAGGTTATCAGAATTGATAAGCGGTAGTTGGTGTACGATAGCTGTTATCATCACAGACGTTCCGTGAACGTCGCTTGTCGCAAAATTGCTGGTTTTTCGTGTTTTTATTATAATATTGTACTTATTGAAACTTTAAAGAAGTTCGTAGTGTACAAGTCAGTCTAAACCTTTCGCCGCCATCTAAAGTCTGTATTGTTGACCGTTCGTATATGTAGAAGGCGGTGCCAAATGCCTCTACGTTATTCGTCTGATTTTCGTCGGTCGTTCCTGTTTGATTGATCGTAGTCCGATCTAACCCAAAAACCGTTTTGTTGTATTGCCAATTACTTTCTTTTCTGTTTTTAGCTAAACTTATGCAGCTGAGGTCGAAGCGTACGGCGTACACCCATGTGGCATGTGTATTTTTCGTTGGTGCAGTACGGATTGAATTCATGTTCTAGTGGATTTTTACGCTGTCCGGTAGTTATTGTTCGAGGCGACAGCCAATTATACGTATTAATCTGTCTTCGTTTTCCACTGTAGGGTGTTTGCTGTTCTAACCGTCAGCGTTGAGAATTAATTGTATTGTGCATTTCGTTCGTCCGTTGTTTGTGGCTAAGTATGGTTGCTCAGATTAAATCCGCCACTCAATGCATTCACATGTGAGTATTGCTCAACAATTTGTGGTATTAATTTATTAAAGTACGGCCGATGAATTTATCACATTTGTGTCGTTTTTAATTTGATTATTAACAATTATTAATATGGGTTTACGGTTAGGCCACAGTCATATTTTGCTGTAATAATGTTGTAACTAGAAGCTTAAACAAATATACCGTTTTTTATTATTATTATTAATCATTTAAAATATCAACAACAAAAATTATTGGTTAAAATTTTACAAAACGATTACATATTTTAACAATTTTTGACGATTACATTGTTACAATTATTTTTTTATTTATTAAGTTAAATTTGATTATACAGATCTGTTTTTCTCAATCAGTTGATTATACTATTGATATTTTCCATGTTCAGGCCTAAAGTTGCGTCTTAATTGGACGGGATATTGTATTTTCTTAGGTCGCTTATATATTTATAGCATTCTGTTATTATTAAGTGTTTAACTGTTAGTTTAACACCACTGGCTATACACCGAGGGGGTTCCTCTTTAGCCATTAGGTACTTGTGTGTTATCCTTGTACAGTCTATGCAAGGACGATTAATTATAATTTTTTCTTTTCTGTTTAGACTCTAATTTTTCCATTCATGAATTGTGTTTTTAATTTATCTGTTGCCTTCTATATTTATGTGACCTGGTACCCAAATGAAGGTGATGTTAGTACCCTGTGTATTAACTCAATGAACCTTCTTATATGAGTTAAGCAATGTCTGATTTGGCCCCAAATCAATATAGGCCACCCAATCGGTGTGTTAAATTAAATTTTATAGCCAAGGCTGTAGACATTTTAATTTAAGTAAAATAAAGAAAAGAAAAAGCAACTTTGTTTATATTATTAAAATATAATATTACATATTGTAATCACATACCTAACTGTTAGCAATGGACAATGGTGTTATTTATACAAATCATCAATTTAATTTTAATTTTTAATAAATATTATAATATAAATATATTAATATAATAATTCATTTATATTTTACAGTTACGTTAAAATTATAGTGCTATAGTTTGAGCTTGTCCAAATAATAATCATTTGACAAAAAATTTGAGAAACTATCTTGCAAGACCGAATAAATTTGATTTCAAGTTTTATAAATGCAGAGTCCTATCTCCAAATATTTGTAAGTATACTTTATTAGTTTATATACCAACTTATAATGATTTATTATTTAATATCTGTAAATTTTTTTGATTTTACTGTATACTACAGGAAGCAAGTCACTTTGTGCTCTTATTCTGAATAGACTATAGTAGAACGAAAGATTTATGAACTGTTGTCTATAGGTATTGTAACTGCTATACTTGTTCCCCGGAACCACGGTTTAAGATAGAATGATTGCTCGTTGAACGATAAATAGCAAGAGGAAGTGCTTAGGTCAATTTACTAGCTCTTGGGCGATTGTATAGTCATAGTCATGAATATTATAATATAATTGAGATAACTATGAGAGATTAGAAATAGTAAATAAACATAATGTTATAAAACAAATACTGTTACAAGTATTTTAAAATTGTAAATTGTTTGTATATCTTAAAATACTCATAACTCTCTTTAAAATTAAAATATAATAAAAAGCCAATGAGATTGCCTAGATAATAATCCTACTTTTAAATTTAATGAGAGGTGAATTCTATTAATTTTTGAACTAACTGAGCTACACTTGTTCTGCTGAGGGTGCAATTTGCTATGTTACGCACTTGTAACACAGAGACAACAAAATAATGTCTTAATAGTTTTTGAAAACGTCACTTATAACTTGTTAATTACTTGTTTGTTTATTATTTAGAAATTATTTATATTCATCTCATAAGTTTTATTATTTATAATTTAATACAGACAACACCATTAAGTAATTGCATGTATCTTTTTACAGATTCTGTAAATATATCAAAACACAAATCTGCATAAGATGAACGAATCATTTTATGTATAGGAAACTGGTGCTAAAGGAATCAGTGCTCTAAATATACTGGAATGCACCATACCAGCAGAGCTTCCATCTCCGTTGGTAGAAATAAGATCTTAAGAGGACATCACTCCCACATATGTCATCACTGCCTTAAACACGTACAACATTGCAGAATTCCGTCATTGGTCTCAATAGTATAAAACTTAAAGGTAACAAAATTATCTGTGTTATCTCATTGTTTTTTTCGATATTTTAATTTTTAAGTGAATTATGATCATTTTGAAATATTAATATTTTACATAATCATAATTAGAGCCCAGAAAGAAAGAAGCATATTATGCTTGTAATATTCTTTAAAAATATTAGTAATATATATATAATTTAATATAATTTATATTTAAATTTCCTATATTGGTATTTCTTTTACATACAATGTAGAATTCATATGAGAGGACAACCTTCAAAATGTGATGTTTTCGAACATGAAATTTAAGTCCTAGAGGCCAATTCATCAATTTGATAACCTAAAGAAACTAAATGCTACTCAAATGAATCCACTTCAAGTCAACAAACAAAACAATTGTAAGTTGTTTCTCTGGTATGAGTCCTTGCATGAGGTGTGCTATGTTATCAAAACTGATACAAGGATTTATATAGGATAAAAACCTTACTAATGCAATCTTTGTAATAATTATTTCTAGCTGAAGGAAATATAAGGAATACATTTCATTTTTTTTTTAATTTGATATTATATTTTTAAATTTGTATAGTAAATAATTGTAAAGAGTTATTCCAAATGGTTCATCTGATTTAAAGTGCTTATATTATTTTATTTTTTAGGTTTAGAACAATATGTTATACATTAAATAAAAGAAAAAGATGTCAAGTTTAGTTAACTGTATCTATAAATGTTCTATGTGAGCTCCTTTGGTTACACAAATAACATCTAGTCGGTAGTCAAATTCATACCATACTTTTTGCAGCATAGACTACATGGCTGTTGTTATTCGATTTTTCAATTCAACTAGATATGATGGCAGTGGTTTGTACACAGTGTCTTTAACATATCCCCAAAAGAAATAATCACATGGCATCAGATCTTTATAAAGCCATTTTAAATCGGATGAATCATTTTGAATAACCCTGCATTTTAAAGTTATAAAATAAGCTTAGTTCATAAACCTAAAGACTAATATGTATTATAAATTGTATTATAATTAAATATAAGTAATCAACTACCAATGTATTATAACCATACCTTTATACCTTACCTACTATAAAACAATTTTAGCTGAGTTTATAAACTTAAATATCTACTTGTTATGAATTATATCTCAATTGGAAGTTCATATGAATATAATCTCTTAATATCATAATATACACTTTATGCTAACATATTGTATTCAGATTCTGTGCGCTACACCAGATGTCATTCCCAAACATTTAACATTCTAAGACTGACTTGATGACTCTCATTTTTTGGTTCCATTAAATAATGTACATTAAAACTTTAAAAATTATGGATAGCTAACACTTCTTAGATAGTATTTTCATACGATAGAAATTCAATTAAGAACATTAAGAATTTATTGATAAAGAAAAGCAGAATATTTTATTTTACCAGTTGTTCTTTTTTTAGTTGTTGACTAAAAATATACTTTAAATTTACTACTGAGTTTTTAATTAACCATTTATAATATATAATATATACTACACCATATATTTTTTACCGATGATGTCAAAGAACGGATTAAATAATATTGAATAAATACTATAAAAATATAAAATATTTACTTCAGTAACTACATGATAATTAACACAGCATACTATTATGTGACATCTTTGAGTATAGTACCTCGGTAGTAGGCAAAAGTACAAAATTATAGAAATAGGCTAAATGCAGTGCAAAACATAAAGGAAATCCCATTGCCCTGCAGGATCCGCCACTGCTTATAGGTGTTATATTTTTATTTTATTTTATTACGATAAAGTACCTATATGGCTAGTCGGCTTGAGTTATAAAAATAAACAACATAATATTATAACAGTCGTCGATCATAAAATGATCATATAATAGTCAAATAGCAAATATACTTGTAAGTATCTGGTAAATTACTGGTAAATATGAAAATAATATGTGGTCATAGCATACATTTCCACTGTTGAATGTGAATTATAAATTTTATTACTAAAATAATTAAATAATTTTTAATTTTCAATCTCAATTATATTATATCAGCCATTCAGCCTATCGCTGATGTATTTCAATAAATAAATATTTTTAAACTATTTTTGTGTCTAGCCGTCTACAAGTATCCTTTAAAAATTAAAATGCATAGTTTTGCATATTTTGGTAAATAAACTGCATATTTTACAATTTTTTATTGCATACAAATCCTAGTGATGCTATCATCAGCAAAACATTAAGTATACATTGGAGTTCGATAAATTATGACTTGACAGTTAATTTTGTGCAATTTTTAGACTGCGATACGAGTCGGCATGACCAAATATTTTTTATGCGAGTCGGTACATAACTGTTCCTATCGGATTTTCGGACCTTGAGTAATCATTAGTAATAATAAGGGCTCGGGACTTAAAGCATTTGCTTATTTTTATAGATTGACTTAAAATGTAGCAGAATGCTATAGAAGCGTATGTCATGTTACAACACATTCAATTATGAAATTTAAGTGCTTTTTTTTGCTTTTTTCAGCGATTTTTCAAAAAAATGCTTATTTCAAGTTTTTCTGATAATTATTGCTTTTTTGACCAGTTTTTATACTTTTTTATGATTTCCTACTGCAAAGTTGTTTTTGATAGAATTAAAATTAAAAAGAATTTATTAAAATTTATTAA